ATATATATATATACATGCATATATACACTCTAGAATCAGCACACCACTGACCAGCAAAGGCCTGAAGTGCAAGGGTATGTAGACATTTGCTGGCAAAACCCTCTTGCCTGAGGCTGTGCGAACATCGCCTGCAGTCCATGCAACAGGACCCAAGGGGTGCTTATTGGTACTTGACTCGGGTTTAGGGTTTAGGGTTTAGGGTTTAGGGTGTAGGTGTAAGTACATACCGTCGGACTCAGGTACCAGAACTGACGCTAAGATCCAAGTAGGGGCCATGGCACATATGAATTCTCAGCGCAGGGTCACAAGGGGGGCGGCCCAAGATCAGATAGCCCATGCAAGAAGTTGCCGTAGAGTGGGCCTACGCCATAGAGCCAAATCCTGACCCAAACCCTACGCCTGGAAATTGGAGACTAGAAGCGTCAAACATGTCATAAATCTAGACATTTCCGGGTGGCCAAGACTTTGAAACCCTCAAGGCCAGAAATTTGCTTAAAGCTAAGTTGCAGTTCTCCAATTTGATTGCAGTCTTGTGTTGTACGCTTTCCACGATTTAGGGTCCAGGGTCTAGGGAATCATACGATGAAGGCATTGTTGAACGTGGTTTTTATTTGTCAATACGTTGCACAATCCCCATATGGCATGTAGCTTTAAATGTTGAATGGTATCCCTAAACCCTATCAAGAGGAACCCTTGAACCTATTGATGATCACTTCATCTGGTTGGGATCTCTCAGGCGACCCTTGCTTTCACAGCGGTCCATTTTGCTCTAAAGGTATTCTGCAAATCCTTTTCAGTTTTTCGCTTATTCTAATCCCCCGAATACTCCTGCTAAAATGGATAGATGGGAGGGTGCCAGGGCAAATTCAGCCCATTGCTTACAAGTATACACTAAATCGTGTGATCACGCATCCTACTATGCTCCCTGGTGCTTAGGAGGGAATGGGGGAATGGATTATAGGGATTATTATCAAGAGATTATATCGGGACTACTATAGGGATCCATTCCCCCACTCCCTCCTAAGCACCAGGGAGTATGATTTAGATGGTGTCTCTTAAGTAAGGGACGCTCTCTGGGTGCGACGCCTTCGAGTCTAGAAGCCATAGCATGCCTGTCCCGTACTGAGATTTGGAGGGTAGGCTACAAGTAGATTTCAACTGAATGCCCCAGTGAAGTGCAAAGTTAAGGCTTTTCCGCTCCGTTGGTTTGCTTGCAAACTTCCAAGGCTTCGCAATAAGTCTGAAGCATCGGCTAGCAAGCGTTAGCTGTTCCTAGCTGGGATTGTAAGTCACGCTCCTTGCCCTGGACTCTTGTAGAAGTTGAGATCTTTATCTGGGGAAGTTCAGCCCTATATACTCTAAACCAGGGTTTTGGGGCTCAGGGCTTAGGGCAAGGCCTGATCTTGTTTTGGTTTAGGGTTTCAAGAGCCAGGGCTTAGGGCCTGCCTCTTGTGATTTTTGGCCAAGACTCGTACCGTTGCCCTCTAGACATCGCACCAGCTTGTGTGAGCATGTGGTGCTGACTATATGAGAGGTTGCGAAAGCGTAATCGTGCTCTTTTCATGAACCAAGAGTACCTAGAATGGCTTCTTGCTTCCAACACGGCATGGAACATGCAGGAGTTTACTTACAACTTTCTGACGGAGTTCTTCCTCCTTTATGACAATCTGCCGATTTGGCCGGCGGTCACAGATCTTGAGTTCAAGCTGCTGTTTCTGAGCCTCACTTCCTTGTCCAGTAGTTGACCTTAAAGGTTTTTGGGGTAATATAAGACCCAGTATAAACAGTCAACTTTGGCAAAGGCATAGATACTGGACAACGAAGTTGAAGTCGAGGGGCTTCTTCAATCTGGGAAGTAGGGCCTAAACCCTAAACCCTATACCCTAAACCCTAAGCCCTGTTCCTTTGTTGTTTTTTTGTGTTCGGGGCTGCAAGGGGGGCGTGCTGGGGTTCCCAGAGCAAGGCCTACACCAAGCATGTTTCATTTTGTTTCAGGGGTTTAGGGTTTAAGGGCTTAGGGTTTAGGGTTGAAGGGTTTAGGGTTGAAGGGTTTAGGGTTAAGGGTTTGCGACAACGGTTATATAGGGATCTTCGGGGCTTAGGGTAATTAGGGATTGATTTTCCGCAGTCCCGATAATGGGGACTATAGTATTTTTGGGTGAGTATCCACTGTTTATTGAAACCGTCATACCTTGGGACAGAAGCAGGGTGTTACACTCATATCCCCCATGGACGTGCCTTGGCCAAACTCTTCAGGACCCGCACATATGGGAAGCGTTGAATGCTATGTTGGCCCGGATCCCTGAGCCTAGGGTTTAGGGTTTAGGGTTTAGGGTTTAGGGTTTAGGGTCCACCCCACTTCAAACTGCCCAAATCACCCATGTTAGATTTTCAACCCTGATGTTTCTCGCTATATAGTATAGCCCGTCACATGCCCCGTATAGCGCACACAGAACACTCCATGAAAAGTGGAGTGTAGTATCCACCCCAGATAACCCAGCTTCCATTTCAGTTTCCTGGTTGATTCTGATTTATCATGAGACAAAGTTTCCAAACCTTAATTCCTGAACCATAGTATCCATAGTATCCCCAAATATGTGTATATATATATATACATAGCCATACCCCCTATGGGTGGCAGGTTTCATCGCCTGATCTCCTTCAACTTTGCTTGGCGCAATGTGCCCACCGGAGGCCCATGTCTGGGTTCGTGGATTTGGGTTTTTGGGTTGCCTAAACCCTACCCTAAGCGCAAGGCTCGTTAGGGGATTGAGGGTTGAAAGCCGATTTGGGTCGAGGATTTGAGGCCAGTTGGGAGTTTGCGGCTTCTGCTTGCATTTCAGGGTCATTCATATTAGGGTAGTGGTGTGTTTACAGTTGGGCGTAGAATTAAGTACCGGGTAGATAGGGGCTATGTAGAATGGAAAAGAAACTGGAAACTGCCATATTATACCGGGATATATTGGGTGGTATACCAAGGTATGTATTGGGTCATATGTGTGTGTATGTATATGCACATACAATACAACAGCTGCGGCATGAAGCATCGGATCTCTCTGCCGCTGTAGACTACTCGGATTGGATGGAGCCCTAGTTAGGAGGAGAACAGTGTACTGTTAGCAATGCTATTGCTATCACTGTTGCTAGTATGAGAGTGCTGTTCCGTGTATGAAGGGGCTTGTTGCGCACACGCCGTGCAGGCTGTTGACGGCAGATGCGCTGATTTCGCGTGGCGTTCCCCCGTTGTACAGCATCGCAGCAATGGGGAACGCAGCAGCAATACGATATATAGAGATGTCCGGGATAAACCTTGTAGTTATCCCTGGTGCATTAGCTTCAACCTAGTTACCCTGGAGACATGTTCTCATTCCATTCCTCCTGATCCCAACTTCAGCCGTAATCAGGCTCTAGTCCTAAGCCCCCAAGGCTGCATCCCCGCACCCAAACCCCACGTCGCATTCTGGAGTACCCTCCAAGACAAACATAGGATCCCACATATCCCTCTGACAGGGACAGTAGCTTACAAAAGATCCTTTCAGGTTACCTTAGCCAACCTTAAGCCCTTTTATGGCAGGCGCTTCTCCAGCCTCAGCTGTGCAGAATTATCTCTACGACCGCCTGGCCCCAAGCTTCCTTTGTTGTTGCCGGATAGGGAGACCGTTGAGTAAGAGGGGGGCTTGAAAGGCATTCCGTAAGGAGGATACAGAGATTCGGGTGGTTCAAGGCGGGGTTCTAAGTAGGATACCTTTCTAGTTGTATTACGGTCGCAACTACCCCGCCAAAAGGGTACTTATTGCTGATCACTATCCAGTCACATCTCTTTCGACTGGATCCCTACATCAACCTGGAAGCTCACCATCTACCTCCGAACCTCCAAGCTGCTGCTAGAAGGGGTTCAGATTAGGACAGGATGATGGGCTCAATAATAATGCGATCGTCGTCGTAGCAGCAGCAGCAGCAGCAGCAGCTGCAGCAGGAGCTGGAGCAGGAGCAGGAGCAGGAGGAGGAGGAGGAATAGTAGTAGTAGTAGTAGTAGTAGTAGTAGTAGTAAGTGACTGGAAACGTCAGACAACAATCCTAACAATCCTTTGATAATCTTGCTACACATGCAGTGTAATTTGTCCAGGAAAGCTTTTCCAATTCGTCAAACTCCCTAGAACAGAGTTTCTTGTTGGTTGCAGGTGCAAAATGTGTAGGGAGTAATCTGGGTATGTAAAGGTTGTATATGTGGGTAGACACACTGCAACCATGTTGGTGTTAGGCTTCCCCGCAGTTGAGGGTGCACGTTGATTAAGTGAGGCCCATTCTCGATTGTGTTTTGGGATTCTTCCGAGTTTCAGATGTCGGTGTACAGGGGTCTTTATAGACCATTCCTCCCAGAATTCCAACGCTCGCATCAAAGTAGCTTCTAAACCTCAGTGATCTCCAGGTTTTCTATGGGATGAGTGCGTAGATCCTGCAGTCCCTTCCGAGGACGACCGCGGTACATGCCCAAATTTAAAGCCCAGCGCCCTGGGCTTGAGGACTTCAATCCTCGAACCCAACCTTCGAATCTTAGCCCTAAACCCCAAACTCTAGACCCCGACACCCCTAACCCTAAACCCTCCACCCCAAGCCCTAAAGCCTAAACCCTGATCCCCTGAGCTGCCCTAAACCGCGGAAACCTATAATCCCCCTTAAGTAGATAGAATATGGCTTTGGGTATACTATAGTAAGATCCCCATATACCCCATATTCTATCTACTTAAGGGGGACTATAAACCCCAAATCCTTGGTTCCAACGCGTCCAGGTACCATCTCAATGAGCCTCGTGGGGGTCCAGGCGCTCACGTCCTTCCCTTCGGAGCTCGCAAAGTGAGAGCCCCTGCAGGGTAATGTTGGGGTTCGCAAAATTAGCGGTACCTTTAAGGGAGTTCTAGGAGTCAAAAAAAGGTTGTGTGGGGTTTAGAGTTCAATGTGGAGGCCTGAACAGTTATTCAGTTTATTTCCGTACAGTCTGATGACAAATTTCACATGATTTCGTATGTCCCCCTTTAAATGGCCGTTCAGTTGGAATCTTGATGTTTGGCGTATGTTTGCTGGGGTTGCTGAGAGGAATCTTGGGCGGGATGGAGAGTGACGTAGCCCCACGGCCCACTTCACTGCACGAGTCTACGTCTTAGAATCAAGATTCCCCAGAGCTGTCGGAAACGCTGAAAGTGCTGCAGAGCGCGTCCCTAAGTACCAACTCCGCATGCCACACTGTTCCAGCTTGAGGGTTAAGGCTACACTGGGTTGCCGTTTCTGAACTTGATATACTCAGAGGGGTTACAGTAGGTTACCACTATGCGGATATACTGTAACTCATGTGGTTTCCGTACAATGGCGACTAAGTTCGAGTCCTTAACAGCAACCTGGTTCAAGGCGTGTCATGCGATCCTCGTACGGATTCCTCCGCCCAAGTGAGTAGGCATGTAGCAGGAAGGGGCTGGCCAACATAGTTGGCTCAACCTGGGGTTCTGATTTTATCGACGTGGGCGCTGAGCTGAAGCTTCTTAGTAGGTGCTCTCGTCTACAGAGATAGATAAGTGCCTCAAATTAATCCCTTCGCATAATACCTGAAAGGGATCCCCATGATCTCCCTGTAATACCCTGACATATAGTCCCCCCTAAGTAGATAGAATATGGCTTTGGCTATGTTATAATAAGATCCCCATATACCCTATATTCTATCTACTTAAGGGGGACTATATCCATATAGTGCTGCTTATCCCTCATTGGGGAACATCATTTTTATGGCCGTCTCTTCTGCTTCTCCAGTGTAATCTTGTCACAGTTTGTGGCTTCAACATATCCTTCTTTGGTGCGTGGCTATTTGGCACAAGCCTGACTGCAGCGATGTCTCTGTTGGAATGTGGTTGTTTGGTGAGAGCCTTTGGTCAGTCTTTTTTGCTGTAGCATCTTTGTTTGGTACCAGCGTTGTGTGATCAGCGCTCGTTCTTCACTTGACCGAGTGGCTCCGCAGGTCATAGCTTGAGCTAGACCTTTCCACCATTCCGCCCATGTGCAACACTCCCTTGGAAGGTGACGATGCAAAGAAGATCGCTCGCAAGCCTCCTGAAGTGTCTACCCCTGTTTGGCTTGCTACTGGCACGAAACCCCTGCGAAGGCGTGGAGGTGAGGCCGGCATGCGGCAGTGGCAAGGACGAGCCCAGGACGCTCAAGCCTTCATCGACAGTGGGGAAGGCACTCTTAGATCTTTCCTGTTGTCGCAGGGGCTATCTCCATCTCAGACTGAGTTGGCGCTGGAAGAAGCCTTTGGTGCAACAAACACTGCAGATGGAGCTGAGTGCAAGCGCGCGAATCGAAGTAACGCTTCCGTCGCTGGAGATGTGCCGCAATTGAAGTCTCCACCAGCAGCGGTAGAGATGGCTGCCCAGAAGCCGCCGAAAAATTGCTATTTGCCTACGCAGCCCTTAAGTGCAACTGACTTTGTGTTGGACCGACCAAGGCCCAGCCGCAGAGCTGTCAGTTCGGAATCACGCTGTGAAGTCGCAAGATCACGAAGTCCTATTGGCAGTAATGGAAAATAAAACGGAAGCTACTATATTATTAAAGAGTATATATTGGGGTTATATAGGGATAATTGAAAGTAAATGGAAGCCACGTAGTAACGTGGAGTCTGAGCCCAAAGTTGGCAGACCAGTTATGGTTATCCATCAGGCGCCCTGACGTTCCTCTTCTCCCGTGATCGCTGCGCCATGTGGTCAAAGTCTGGAGCTCTCGCTTTGTTCACCACCCCTTTTCAATTCAACAATGGGATTACTGAGTGTTGAGCCAAGTCGGCTCCCTTTGCGTTTACACTCCAAGCTGGGGCTGCTTGAGCTGCGCATTTCTGGAAACATTGCTGGGCCATTGTTGGAGATATCCCTGCTTGGTCAGACTAAAACTCATAAGAATGGACTTTGCATCGAAAGCCTTGAGGCGTGTGTCATTGGCAGGCATACTTGGAGGTTCATGGGTAGATATAGGCAGCGCTAAAGTTAACCTGACTTGGACTATAAGTATCGGTGTCCTGGTTGTAACCCCAGCTATGACTACAACTCAATGTCCGAGGCTTGATGGTTGGCATAGGTCCACTCACTGTCAGATTCGAGCCATTACAGCATGACAACAGTTTGTTTGCGGTGCCTCCCACCCCATTGATCCTGGTCCTAGAAGCATGGTGGCTGTATACCACGACAGGCCAGGGCCCAGCGTTAACGAGTTCAGGGATTAAGGGCTTAGGGCGCAGGGGAGCAGTTTAAATGCGAGGTCTTCAGTAACAAGAGCGCCCCAACCTGAATAACAAGCAATGAACAAAGCCCATTTTCGCAGTGTGAGAGCACATGGCTTCAAGTGGAACAGGCTCGGGCTCAACGGATTTCAGGCTACACCTTAAAACCGCTTTAAACTCTAAACCTAATCCTTGCTTTTTTTAGGGTCTGGAAATGAGTTGCTTGAATTCAAGCGGTTTCAAGCACCAACATCCCACTGCCTTTCAAGTAGTCTTCGACCCCTAGTATGGCGTGCTTTCTGGGGATGTTCCAGGAAACAATTTTCAGTCATTATGGATCATAATCCTCATGCATTCTTTATGACGCCATAAGAAGTTGGTTAGGGCCCCTAAGTATAGTCCCGAGAGAGAAGTTTTGGGGTTGCCCTAACTTCAAGGATGGATTCCCGCGCTACCAGACTGCTGGAGCTGCGGGAGGCAGGGGTTTGGGTTTAGGGTTTCGGGTTTAGGTGGTGTGTAGGGTGCAGGGGGTTGAGAATTAAGGGTTAGGGATTGGGATGAAATACTTGACATGTAAACCCAAATACTGCAGAAGCATTTATAGTTACGGTCAGTATTCCTCTGTGAAGCATATATGTATTACACTCAACTCCATTGCGTTCAAAACGCCCCCTACATTAGGTCATTAGGCCACCCTTGAGCGGAGATTCAGTTTTGTAGGGCTCAATATGGTCTTGTGTGTAATATCTTAGTGACGAGGGCTCAAAATTCGGAGTATATGCCTTGGAGCGTCACATCTGGGACTGAGGCATGTGCTTTGTGCTTCAGGGCTTCAGATTTCGGATTAACAGTTCAGGGTACATGATTTTGTGCCTTCGGGCTTTGTGTTCCGAACTTAGAGCTTATGATTCGAGGCTCAGGACGTCCGGCTTGGGATTCAGAGCATGTGGTAGTCTGTTAGTTTGGACTCAGGACTCAACGAGTGATGGCAGGGGGGATGGGGGGTTAAACGAGCAGGATTTTCAAGGCAGATGCTATGTAGAGTCTGTCTGCAATACAGAGTAAGATCGGATCCCTTTCTTGGGTATGATATTCTGTCAGAAACATATGTTGTTACTTTGACCAACATACCAAAACCTGTGCTCAAACGGGGTTCAGACTTGTTGTTGTATGTGGACTGGACTTTGATACCCCACCATGATCGAGAACTATCAGGGGGAACGCTTGATCATGCTGCTGCTGGAGTGCGGTTACGGAATTTAGAAAAAGCTGCCATAATATGAATCTACAGTATATATAGTAACAGGAATGTCTTGTAAGGGTAACTTCAGGGAAGTTCCTGAACAGCAGCCCTGTTAATCTTAAGAACCCTGACCCTGCTTGACCCGAGTAGTTGGTATACTGGAACACCTTCCTAAGGTACCCTATGCTCAGAGCTATGCAGGGCTTATTGTATCAATCAACCGTAGCAGTTCGAATGAGGAGAAGGTCAATTGTTTAAGCCAGCATGTAGGGCTGCCCCCTTCGCCTGTGGGCCTACCACACGTACTTCACTAGAGCAGGATCCCTTGTAAATACTGTAAATACTAGTCATTTGGTATTTGGTTCTGGGGACCCGTAACAGCGCATCTGAAATTCAAATTGCAGATGTGCGAATGTGGCTGACTCGAACCAGGTTGCGAACACATGGCTCAAAACCGGGCTTTCAATGCATGACGCAGAACACTTAGTGATCGTTTTGGGGGTGGAGGGTTGGGTAATCCTATAAACCCCATATAAATCCACCCATTTGCCAGCTCATTTTCGATTGTCTTTTCCATTTGAACCTCCGTTAATTACTCGGGGACATATCCCTGAACCTTAACCGGAAACCTTAAGTATCCCTATATACAGCTTCTAACCCGATTCGCATCCAAGTCCTGCCAGGCCTTGGAGCTTGCCAGTCACGAGCAGCCGCGAAGCCCCCAGCGGGCCCCGGCAGCTCAGGGCTAAAGTTACCTGTAACTCCCGGGTTCAGGATTTAGGGTTACAGTTGACCTGTAACCCCATTACCTACAGTTTAGTACGGGACGTGTAGGGATATCTAGTGGTTGATAGGATTTATTCAGGGGCTTGGGATCTACTTGTAACCCAATTGCCAACAGCTTGGTGGTCATTACCCCATAGTCAGTAGGCTACAGGTATAACGCATCAAACTCTATGTAATTAGCGTTAAAGCTGAAGCTTTAGAGAGTTTGAGGGTTTTGGGTCTTGCGGGTGAGGAAAAGGTGTGGGTTTTTTTAGGCTATGGACCTTGAATGTTCAACACCCCCTCTGCTGGGGTATAAAGGGGGTAAACCCCCTCTGCTGGGGTATAAAGGGGGTTATATAGGGGGGGCTGTATAGGGATTATGGAAAAGAACATGGAAACGACTATAGTATATTGGGGTTTATAAGTAGGGGTATAATATGGTATTGAAAGCCATGGGCTTGCCTGATGCGTTCCAAAAACAAGCTGAGCAGTTGGATCTCTGATTGGATCCCCAGACTTCTCAACTAGCTAACCTCAAGCACAACGCCCTAAGCCCAAAACCCTAAACCTATCCCCAACTCCCAAACCGATCCTTCCAAACCCTGATGCCCGAAATCCCTGATAGTAAGCGTTCCCTGTCACGGTTTAGGGTACAGAGGTTGGGGTTTGGGGTTTAGGGCTTGGGGTTTTTCTTTGCCAGATATGGACATAGAAATGTCTGATGCTTCCTCAGAAGCTGTGAGGACACAAGAACTAAAGCCTAAACCTTCAGCCTTATACCTGAACATGAGATTCTGCACCCTATCCTCAATCTGGGGTGTACATTTGCCTGCTGGCAGGAAGGGGCAGGAATAAGAGTTGAAGTCAAAGCGACAATCCTAGACATCCTAGACCCAGAAGCGAAACACGAACTCTCAACCTTGGACACGTAACCCTCGGCAGAAATGCTACACTTGAGGCCGAACATCAAAACGCCCAACCCTGAACTGAAAGCCTTGAACCCTACATCCTCAAACTCAAACCGATACTGAAAGCTTAAACCACAAGCGTAAACCTTGAACCCAAATTCATGTTCAGTGGCAAGACCTTAAAGCTGAACTTAAAGCCCTCAAGCCTTGAGCACTCGGACTGGGTCAATGTTGGGATGTAGGGTTTAGGGACTGTTTGGGGTTTAGTGTGTAGAAGCACGGATAAGAAGATGAGCTCTTATTAATACGGGTGGTTTCTCAACACAATGCTACACAATGTTTAGACCATAACCCCTATAATTACATATATAATCCCAGTTTCCATTTCATTTTCCATTTTCTTTTCCATTTGATTCTCCATTATTAAGGGGGATACTATCCATATACAGGACCCCAAAGAGCTCTGTAGTGTCCCTATACTTCTGGGTCCCTAGGGCCCCTATTTTGAAAAAATCCCTGAACCCTGAACCCTAAGACCTTCATTGGCAGTAAAGCATTTCGAGAGTGCTGCAGAAGGCCACCCCTTGGCGAGTCGCACTCCAAAATCGTTGCTATCTCAGCAGGGTTGTGGCGGTTTTCTTAGGTTCTAGGGTTTGGGATTCTGGGTTCAGGATATAGATTTTAGGGCTGTTAGCGCTTGAGGGCTTGCAGCCTTGCGTTTAGAGGTTACTCATCCTCTTTCGAAGTTTCACTTCGGGAGGGCGTATACCGCTGCACCCTTTTCCCTTAAGATTCATCCTGAGTCTCCGAAACCTCAACCCCCAAAAATCATGTTACACCCCGCTTAAGGGTGGTTAGAAGAACCCCCCATGAAACCCCACATATGTCCTTCAATTTGGGGATGTGTTCAAAAAATCGGAGCGGCTGTTTCTGAGGCCGTGGGCAAGCTCACCCTCCTGAAAGTGCGTGGTTTTTGGGCAGGGGCTCATCATTTGGCCCTCTAAATCCCAAAGCTTTGTAAGTACAGTACTAGCTACCACGCTAGGTAGTAGGAATCGTAAGCGCCCCTCAATAAAGCCCCTTTGAGGACAGCTATTGCACGGGGGCGTGACCCAACTCCCTAAAGCCCAACCCTACCGGCCCAGAATTCCACCCCAAATTGAAACCCTAAACCCTAAACCCTAAACCTTAAGCCCTAAGCTCTAAACATGAGACCCTAAGCCCTAAACCTTAGACCGCAAACCCAAAGCCCTAAATGTTAAACCTTCAGCCCTAGACACTAAACCTCAAACCCTAAACCCTACACACTAAACCTCAAACCCTAAACCCTAGACACTAAACCTCAAACCCTAAACCCTAGTCCCTAAACCTTGAACCCTAAACCTCATACCCTGAACCCTAGACCCTAAACCTTCAATCCTAAACCCTAAAATCCCAACCCCTTCTCCCAAGGTTGTTCGCAACCTGACCTTGGCAACGCCCAATCAAGTCACCTTGGCCGAGGGCCTCACTTTCCAGGCTGCTGAAGTCATGTGCGGGTTTAGGGCTTAGGGTTTAGGGTTTAGAGCTAAGGGCTTAGGGTTTAGGGCTTAGGGTTTAGGGTTTAGGGCTTAGGGTTTAGGGATTAGGGTTTAGGGCTTAGGGTTTAGGGTTTGCTGTGATGTTGCCGTGCAGGATGTGATGATCAGGTGTCA